GAGATCCTTTTAATTCTTTCCAAAGCTTTTCATCTGAGGAAATAGTTCAGTAAGTATTTTCAACAAGTTCCCAAGATTTCCCTATCTCACTTCATTAAATCTTCTAACTTTGCTTCATTTTCTTCTAAAGAGCTTACAAACCTGACCACATAATTAGTTACTCTCACTTGCAAACTTTATACAATTGTGAAGTATGCAATGGATGATGGGCTTACCAGTTTTTCTGACTTTGGTAATTTGTAGAAATTTTTCTTTTTCCCATTTATTGCAGTAACTCATTAATCTAGCTATTTCCACCTTTAGACTAAACTCAAATTCCTGCCTAGCAGATAGTGAGACATGGCTGGCACATGTATACAGACTAATTTGGTACATATATTTTGCTGCAGTTCAGGAAGTAGAATTTTTTTTATTTATTTTTTTTTTGAGACAGAGTCTCGCTTTGTTGCCCAGGCTAGAGTGAGTGCCCTGGCATCAGCCTAGCTCACAGCAACCTCAAACTCCTGGGCTCAAGCGATCCTCCTGCCTCAGCTCTTGAGTAGCTGGGACTACAGGCATGCGCCACCATGCCTGGCTAATTTTTTTTATATATATAGTGTGGCCAATTAATTTCTTTCTATTTATAGTAGAGACGGGGTTCGCTCTTGCTCAGGTGGTCTCAAACTCCTGAGCTCAAACGATCCACCCGCCTCCAGCCTCCCAGAGAGCTAAGATTACAGGCGTGAGCACCGTGCCCGCCAGGAAGTAAATTTTGTTTGAGGTTATATATGTGATAACTCTGGTCTTTCCACAAGTGAGCAAAATTAATTTTCAGAGATTTCAAGTAATCAAATAAAGATTTATGGTTTCATGTGCAAAATTGAGACTAGAACCTCAAACTCTTTATTCAGTACAATTTAATAAAATCATTGAATGCTATTTTTCTACTAAAGAGAGAAAACCTTTTTTCTTTATTCTGATGAGTTTGGAAACAGACTGGCATGTATAGAAATAATTATATATCTAGAAGTATAGACAAAGATTGAGAGAGGGTACAAAAATGAAAGTGATTATTAACTCTCTTTCAGGGGGTGGGGAGAGAGATAAGGAAGGTGCTTAGGGATGAGAGACTTGAAAGAATGGATAGAGTTTGCTAAGCAGGTAAAGCATGGGTGAGAAGTATGGAGGAGGGGGTATTTTGAGACAGAAGGAACAGTAGGTGCAAAGGCAGGGAGTTGGAAAAAGAGAGACACATATCTAGCAGGATATGGAGCCAAGAAAGGGGGAGACTTGAATCCTGTTGGTATGCTGAATAGAAAGAGCAAGTAGGCCGGGCGCTGTGGCTCACGCCTGTAATCCTAGCTCTTGGGAGCCGCGGGCAGATTGCTCAAGGTCAGGAGGTCAAAACCAGCCTGAGCAAGAGCGAGACCCGTCTCTACTATAAATAGAAAGAAATTAATTGGCAACTGATATATATATAAAAAAAAAATTAGCCGGGCATGGTGGCGCATGCCTGTAGTCCCAGCTACCCGGGAGGCTGAGGCAGAAGGATCACTCGAGCCAGAGTTTGAGTTGCTGTGAGCTAGGCTGACGCCAGGGCACTCACTCTAGCCTGGACAACAAGCGAGACTCTGTCTCAAAAAAAAAAAAAAAAGAAAGAGCAAGTGAAAAAGAGGGGAAAGATAATGGCAATATACGGATGCTCAGGGGAGGAAAAATTCCTGTGGAGGCTGAAATCAGAATCAAGGCTCACATGTAAAAATTAGCCTTGGATTGGAGAATGGATACCCCTAGCACTGAAACAGGTGAGGGGGAAGAAGTGATTTTACAAATTGAATTAGGTTTGTTAGCTTTCAGGCAGCTAGTTGAGGGTTGTGGTAGAAGAATGCATTTTTTTTTTTCTGGAGAACTTCAAGAAGTTTGAGAATCTCACTGAAGTCTAAGCAGGGGCCAGGGGGTAGATGGTGACCAGGGGTGGTGTGAAGTGGCTCTGGAGAATCTAGATTTTGAAGGGCTTTATTTGCCATGCTAAGGATTTAGGATTGTAACCTGAAGGTGATGGAGGGTCATTGAAGGATTTTAAGCAATTTAGTGTCCCAATCAGTTTGTGCTATATTCTGATTGTGGTTCAAGGTTGAGTTGGGGGTGACGTGGTGAAGGTTGAGTTGGGGGTGACGTGGTGATGGTGGTGGGAGCAGAAGCATAGAAATAAGGAAACTGCTGTATGTAATGCAGGCAAGAGCTGTCTCCCACCCTATAATTTACCATTATTCCTCTAAATACAACCTCTCAGCACCTGTCCTCTCAATCTCAACCCATTTTCTGCTCTGAGCTTCAATTTGTTGTTCTCTCGGCCATTATGTTAGTGACTATTCTGATTTTTTTTTTTTTTTTGAGTCTGATTCTCACTCTGTTGTCCGGGCTAGAGTGCCGTGGCATCAGCGTAGCTCACGGAAGCCTCAAGCTCCTGGGCTCAAGCAAATCCTCCTGCCTCAGCCTCTCAAGTACCTGGGACTACAAGCATGCACCACTATGCCTGGCTAATTTTTTCTATATAATTTTAGTTGTCCAGCTAATTTTTTTCTATTTCTAGTAGAGATGGAGTCTCCCTCTTGCTCAGGATGGTCTAGATCTCCTGACCTTGAGTGATCCGCCCACCTCCGCCTCCCAGAGTGCTAGGATTACATAGGTGAGCCACCGCGCTGCCCCTATTCTAATTTTTTAATCTCTCTCTTCTAATCACTCTCTACCCAGCCATTTGCAAACCTTGTATCTTAGTAGATGGCCCTATGGCATGTTTCATGGAGAAGTCAAGGTCATTCAGTGAGCCTGACCTCAATTTTCCCCCTGAAGCTAACAAATCTCATTCCATATGTACAATCACTTCTTCCCTCTGGCCTGTTTCAGTGGAAAGGGCATCCTTCCCCTATCCAAGGCTAATTCTTTCATCTCAACTTTGAATCTCATTTCCACTGCCTCCACAAGACTATTTCTCTACTGAGCATCCCTTTATTTCCATTATCTTTCCTGGCTCTTTCCCTTCAGTATACCAACAGGATTCAAGTCTCCCCCTTTCTTGGCTCCATATCTTGCCTAGATATATATCCCTCTTTCCATTTACTTCCAATTTCACGAAATGGTACTGATCTTTTGTATGCCAGGACTTCTCAAGTGGGGTATTGTTGACATTTAGGGCCACATAATTCTTTGTTGTGAGTGGGGGGATTCTGTGTATTGTAGGATGTTCAGCAGCATCTATAGTCTTTACCCACTAGTTATCGGTAGCATTTCACCAGTTGTGAAAATCAAAAATATCTCCAGATTTTGTCAACCTCTGGGGGTCAAAATCGCCGGTAGTTGAGAACCTTTGTTCTAAACAATATAAGGCAGTTATTGAAAATGTTCATGTTTACAGATCTCCTTATTACCAAAGTAATGGACATTTGGTATCCTTGATCACCCACTTCACTGTTGAAACTCTTTTCTCCTTTAGCATGCTACCTGTATTTCTTGTTTTGTTTTTTTTCTTTCTGGAACTTCTTTTTAGTCTTCAACTCTTAAAATTTTGAACTTCTCCAGGTATCTATCTCTTCTCACTTATACTTTGGGTTACCTCACCAAAATTATTGCTTCAGCTATCATTAAAAAGTCAATGAATCCAAATCTCTACCCCAGATTGCTTTCCTGAGCTCCAGACCCATATATCCAACAGCCAAACACAACAGCTTACTGGAATCTCCACTTTGGATAAATATTAGACACCTCAAACTGGTCTCGAAAAGACAAGAAATCCCTTCTATTAATTTGGTTGACTGGTGCTATTGACTGAGACATGAAGATTAAGATGGATCAGGTATAAATACAATTTATTTATTTTGGACATGATATGTTAGAGATGTCTATGTACAATGGAAATATAATGCAAGCTAAAAATATAATTTTAATTTTTAGTAGCCATATTAAGGTAAAAAGAAAGAGGGGAAATTAATTTTAATAATATATTTTATTTAACCCAAGGCTTTCTCAACTTTACTATTAACATTTTGGGCCAGAGAAATTTTTGCTGTGGAGGGCTATTCTGTGCATATAGGATGTTTAGCATCATCCCTGGACTCTATACACTAGATGCCAGTAGCCAGGCCCCTCCTCCCTGACTTGTGACAACCAACAATGTCTCCGGATGTTGCTAAATCATCCTGCTTGAAAACCACTGATTTAACCCAATAAGCTCAAAATATTATTTCAACATATAATCAATATTAAAAGGCTTTGAGATTTTTTTTTACAATCTTCCTTTTTCTGTATTGTAACTTTGGATGTGTATTTTTCACTTATAACACTTCTCAATTTTTACTAGCTACATTTTAAGTGCTCAACAGCCACATGCAGTTGGTGTCTACTTCATTGAAGAGCACAGGCCAAGAGCTAAAAAAAGGTTGGAACTGGAAATATAGGTTTGTGAAGTCATAAGGTAATAATTAAAACCATGGGAGTAGATAAGATAGTCCAGGCAAAATTCTATACTTAGAGTGACAAAATAGGAAGAAAATCCTAGTCCAATGCTCTTTCAGTTCCCACACAATCTGCTACCCTTAATTGTTCACTATGTAATTTTAAGATATTTTCTTCACTGAACAATATGGAGAACAAGACTGAACAAAAAGAATATTAAGACGAGTTGATGTCAAAGGGAGGGATTAATGTTTACTCAACAGTTATTTGCTAAGTAATGTTCAGAGCATTATATAAACTGTCTCATTTAATCTCACAAGTACCTTTTGAGGCAAAGAATATTATCACAATTTATAAAGGAGGAAACTGAGATTTGTAAGGGTCTAATAAATCAGACAGCTGTTAATTGGCATCAGCGGTGTTTTGAAAGCAACTCTAAGCCCATTCTCTCTCCTCTACACCCTCTTAATGCTTATAATGAAGCATTTGCTATCTACTTATTTTTATAAAATCATTGACTAAGAAGGCTTATGCGATTATACAGCCAGAGTTCGCGGGATAGCTATTACCACTTTTGATCTGATTCCGGAAGCAACATCACCTTAACGACGAGGTGCGATCTTTATGTCATTAGCGCGTAAGATCTGGGTATCATTTGCTGCGAAAGACACTAACTAAAAACCATGTTTTTGTTCAAGTGTGCCGTAAGTATAGTCAATCATTCTGTGGCTAGTTGTAATTTTTGGTTACAACAAAATTAACCAAGACGTAGTCAGGATTCTGCTTGAATATTGAACGCATAATCACCAAAGAAAAGGAAATAATGAGCTTTGTGACACCGTGCGGTCTCGCCAACAGACTGATAAAACGAGTACAAAGGGGGAGGGCCGGGGACGAGGGGGCGGGGCAGTGAGACGGGAATCTGAGCAAGCGCAGAAACAAACAGATGGTAATGGAGGCGTGAACGCTGCTGCGCTCTCACTTTCCGAACTGTCGTAAAGCCTCGAAGTGTCGTGCTCGCTCAGTAGGGGAGGGATTGGTTAGGCGGCGGCGGCGGCGGCAGGGGAGCAGCGGCAGTCGCGGCTACGGCGGCGAAGTGTCCGGTGTGCGCAGCGCAGAAACGCCCGCGGCTTCAGAGAACGAGTTCCCGTGGGGCCGAATGAGGCATTCTGAACCCAAGCCGTGTTAGCTGGGCCGAGTCCAGGCGCTGCCGCACGTACAGTTTTGGTGGCGGTGACAGACGCTCCTCTTGACTCTAGGGGCCTGTTAGGCCGAGATCTGAGGCGCCGTTCGCTGGCTCTCGACGTGCCCTTCTCACCCCTTGCGTTTCCCGTCTTCCTTTCCTGGGTCTGCGGTTCCCGGACCCTGGGAAGAGGGTGGCTAATGATTAAGGTGAGGGGAACCGGGGGGGAGGGGATCCATTGGCGGCCGCGCGTGCGCGCAACGGGGGAGGGGCTGGCCTGGAGGGGAGAAAGAGGAAGGGCTGCGGCCGCGGAAGGCTGGGGTCGGCCACCGGCCGGTTGTCGCCGGCTCCGTGGGGACCTGGGGTCTGCGTCTCCGCTGAAGATTTGATCGTACTGGGGCGAAGCATTCGTCCGCCGACACACCCACAGCCCACAGTAAGGGAGTGTGGGTGAGAGGGTTTCTGCCCCTGTTTTCTTGTCTCCCTGGAGAGTCCTGGGATGGGGGCTGAGGGCTGGGGCGTGGGAGCGCGATTTGACAATGGAGAGACCGAGGCGCCCGGGACCCGGGGAGTCGGAGGGCGCTAAGTCAGCCCTGACGGTTAGGGAGTTGCCTCCTGCGATCAAGGAAATGTAGTCCGCGGAACAGCAGAGGCACGGGCGCGTCAGATTTTGTATGGAGTTGGCTTTCCTGGCCATTAAAGAAGAAGCTTGATATATATATATGTATATTTTTTTTTTATTATCGTCCTTAGATCATTTGCCAGTCAGTGCTGTAGCGGAAGTATCTGTTCCGTACTGCCGAAATAAGAGATTTGTTACAGTAGTTCTCAAACAGGTTACAGTAGCTATTTACAGATATCTCCTAACGCAAGTGTAAGTTTTAACACTCAAAAAAAATACCAGGAAGTATAGAGCATTCGTTTATTTTTTTTTATATATATTATTTTTAATTCTTTTTGTTTTTCTTTTTATGTTACTCTATCATTTCAAAGTTCATTAATGGAGCATTCGTTTAATTTGTTCATGTTTGTGGTGTGGGTTGACTTCATTGTATTGTGGTAAGCTTTCCTGTTTTTCTGATTTATGTGTGGTGTGATTTTTAGAACTCTCTTAAAATGGTCAGATGCCAGCTGACGGACTTCATTTTATAGGAGTTCTTATAGCTTTTGGATCTGACTTAATTCAGCTTCAAAACCTGACTTATTTCATTTGGCATTTTACCTTTAATTTTCTTATTTTAGGGAGCTCTAAAACCAAAAAGAACAGACTGGGAAAAACGATAAACCAAGGGTCCATCTCCTTTCCCATTTTGTGTGTGTGTGTGTGTGTGTGTGTGTGTGTGTGTGTGTGTTATTGCTTACAAATGCTAGAATGTGATTTTGAAATTACTGTACATAGAAGTTCTGTAATGCTGCTTTTACTGACCTTCTAGGGTGAAGTGCTACATTTTGATAATTTGTTACTAAATGTTTTTAGTAAAAATTTTCATGTCATTATACACTGTATTTTTCATACTAAACAGTAGCTGTTAGTTACATTTGTGAGGTAAAACTGATGGGATATGAAGGAAACCCTTTTACTCTGAAAAGAATCTTAGATTGATGCTTTGTTTTTTTTTAAAGCCTTGAATTATTTTACTTTTGTCACTGTCTTGCTGTGTAACCTTGGACAAATTTACTTTATCATCTCTCTCCTCATTTGTTTGCTACCTAAGATTCACAGTAGTAGTCTAAGAATTGGTGAGGGTGATCATAAATTGGTCTCCACAATATTGTAGGAAAAAATGGGAAGAGTAGAGTCTCTTCTTGTTTATCATGGGTGCAATATCATGTGTGTGGGTCCTTCTGTCACTTTTTTCCTTTTTCCTTTCTTCCTTTTGTTTGATGTCTCTAGGTCATTTGTTTTTTAGTTATTTCACTATAAATAGATTTGGTTTTTTTTGTTGGTTTTTTTTTTGAGACAGTTTCACTTTGTGCCCAGGCTGGAGTGAGTGCCATGGCGTCAGCCTAGCTCACAGCAACCTCAAACTCCTGGGCTCAAGCAATTCTTCTGCCTCAGCCTCCCAAGTAGCTGGGACTACAGGCATGTGCCACCATGCCCTGCTAATTTTTTGTATATATATTTTTAGTTGTCCAATTAATTTCTTTCTGTTTTTAGTAGAGGCGGGGTTTCACTCTTGCTCAGGCTGGTTTTGAACTCCTGACCTCGAGCAATCCGCCCACTAGGCCTCCCAGAGCGCTAGGATTACAGGCGTGAGCCACCATGCCAGGCCTAGATTTGGTTTTTGAAGAAAGGTATAACCAAAATAATTTTATTTTTGTGAAAATGCATTATAGCTGAGGTTTACATCTTGATGAATTTCATTTTGGTACTCCATTTCTACAAGTAATTGAGAGATAACTACTGATTTTTAAAATAAGAGAACAGCAACTTGTATAAAGCTAAGAAATAGTTGTTTAGCAAATGCTCCTAAATAGTTATTTTACTGTAGAATTTAAAATGTAGAATACAAAATCCATTGAATCTAACTGTTCAGGTTTTTAGATGGTTCTTTTTTCTTCTCATTTTTGGTTAAAGAGGGGTTTCTGTATCATGCTTTATGTAAGATATGATTGTGCCCTTCTTTAGACTTTTTCTCCCCCTGCCGGCTAAGATTTCAGTAGGAAAAAAGGTGACACTCCTAAAAATGATGATAATTAAAATATGTTATAACTTGACATTAACATTCTGTGAGTGACATTATCTTAGCAAAGAGTGTGGAACTAGAGAAAGGAGATCTGGATTTTAGATCTAGCTTTGCTTGCTATACATCTAGATCTGTGAGTTTATTTTAATTTAATTTTATTTTATTTCGGCATATTATGGGGGTACAGATTTTAAGGTTTCAATAAATGCCCTTTCCCCCCCTCCCCCCACAAGTCTGAGTCTCCAGCATGACCATCCCCCAGATGGTGCACATCTCACTCATTATGTATGTATATATACCCGCCCCCTCCCACCTGCCCAATACCCTATTACTGTAGTACCTATGTGTCCACTTAGGTGCTGCTCAGTTATGTGAGTTTATTTTTAATGTCCCCCCCCCATTCGGATCTCTATTTAAATAAAAAGTGTAGGATAGATTACTCTGGTTTTCTCTAGGTCCTAAATTTAAATTTGGATCATATTTTCAGTTAGTTTTTTGGTATTCATTACTGTATTAGTTATAGTTGAATCCCCAGGAAGAAGTGCTATTCTGAGAGTATAAATGCCTTTATGATACACATTTATGCACATATGTATGCATAAAACCTATGATGAAGCCATGTTTGTTGTTCTAGGTAATATTAATACGGCATTATAGAAGTTACTGAAGGTTTACAAACTCAGATGGTACTAAAAATGAAACTATTGCTCCTGGTAACATTTTTTTAATCATCCTGAATAATTCATTTTTATTTCAGAAACCTATAATTATTGTTCCATAAAAGTCCACAATTAAATTTGAATGTCTTATACTTCTGTTCTTTCTTTTCCTACATCCCACAGATTTTTGGTTACAGCTGACCCAGGTTTCTACAGGTACTGAATTTATACCATTGCATGAGGAAGGAATTATAATTGTTTAGAAACAAATACTTAGCTGAGTTTACATTTTAGAGGTGCCTTCATGGAGCAGATACTCTGTTGGAGGGGGAACATGATAAATAGAATAATTTCAAGTAGTGGTGATATGAAGAAATGGGCTTCTCCTATGGATTGAGTGGTTAGGGGAGGCCTCTTTTTAGAGATGATAATTTAATTTGTTATTTCAATGGCTAGAAAAAAAACCAACCATAGTGACAATCTGGAGAAAAAGTGCTACAGACATCAGCAACAGCAAATGCATTAGATTGGGATTGATTCTGGAGAATCTGCAAGTGTAGATTAATTATTTGGTTTGTCTGTTAGGCTTTTCATAATTGCTGTTAGATGATGTAAACAGATTAATATTATTTTATATGTAATAACCAAGTGTAATATGTCAGCCTTGTTTAAATCCTGACTCAAATTGTAGAAAAGCCATTTTTGAAACACTGGGGTAAATCTGAATGTGGATGGGTATTAGATGATATCAAGGAATTATTGTGATTTTTGTTAGAGATGATAATGACATTATGTTTATGTAAGAAAATGCCCATTTTTTTAGAGATGGAAACTCAGGAATGAAGAGAAAAATGGTAGTATTTGTTTAAAATACTTTAGCACAAAAAAAGTGGCATAGGGACGATGACATTGATGAAACAAGTATGGCACAGTCTTGATAATTGTTGGGTTGGAATGATGGGTACATGGATATGAATAATACTGTTCTTTGCTTTTGTGAGATTTGAAAATGTTCATATTTTAGAATTTTTTTTTTTTTTTTTTTTTGAGACAGAGTCTCACTCTGTTGCCCAGCCTAGGGTGCCGTGACACGTCAGCCTAGCTCACAGCAACCTCAAACTCCTGGGCTCAAGCAATCCTCCTGCCTCAGCCTTCGGAATACTGGGACTACAGGCATGTGCCACCAGGCCCAGCTAATTTTTTAAATATATTTTTAGATGTCCATCCAATTTCTTTCTATTTTACATGGAGATGGGGTCTTGCTCTTGCTCAGGCTAGTCTGGAACTCCTGGGCTCAAACAGTCCACCCTGCCTTG